AAAAAATGAGAATAGTGATGGGAAAGGGCACCGATCCCAGGACTGACTTCTGAAAGCTGCGTCAGGGTTTACCGATGGAGACTCACTGGAGAGAAATGCGAACCTGCTGTTCGTCTTTGAGGAATAGACAGGGAAAGTGGGGAATGGCATTGATCGTGACATTGGAAATTCAGCAAGCCAAAGCCCCAGAAAATGAAGATATGACAGGGAGCCTAAAGCAGAATGGACAAACTAAAATGGGAGCCAGGGCCTCTGAGAGAGGTTCTTTGTCCACCACTGGTGTGTTAGAGCCCAGGTCACGGGCAGCAGAGGGGGAGTCCAGAGGGTGGCCGGTGGAGATGGCTTGACTGCTGTAGACTCTAACACTGGGAGCTGCTTTGGGTGAATATAAGAATTCTCTCATGTGAGGGTTGCTACGGTATGAGAAGGTTTCTTCATTCCTTGTCTTAATTCTTGCATGATTTCTCTCAAAATAAGTTGGTTAACACCAGTTGAGGTTGGGTGAGGATCTTGTAGGGGAACAGTTGAGGATTCGAGTGATGATAGCTTGCATTAATTGAATGAGAATGTTTTAAAATTACAAATTTGAATTAGTACATGTACAGTGTAACAAGTAAATAATAAGGAAGACTGTAAGTTAAAAACCCTTCTCACTCCTATCTCCTGAGGCAACTAACAGTTTGGTTTCTCCTTTGCAAACCTTTCTCTGTATTGGCATGCAGATTTAATCCTGAGTGTGTATTTAAATTGGCATCTGTACTAAAATTTGAATGTAGGTTGTTTTATCACCATTTCAAAATGACTGGATTAAATTAAATGGAAATTGGGTGGTGTGAAAATTACATTTTGCTTAACAAAGAGTTAGCAACCAGTCTTTGTTTAGTAGTAAAGAAAGAAAGGAGATAGAGCCTAGAGGACACTCTAGGGGAGGTTAGGCCTGGAAAAGAGGGGTTTGGAAGGAGGAAATAGAGAAAAGGTCAGTTGAGAACTGCTCTCAGTAGGACAGAAGTACAAGCCTCCCTCTCCCATTCTCTATCTGCATATCTGTTTTATTTTGGTGTAGGAAGAAATGAGGGTACCAGGTTTGAATCCTGGCTCTGATTTATAGTAACTTGATTATCCTACTGAAGTTACCAACCTTCTATAAGTTTCCTCATTTATAAAAGGGACTTAATATTTCATAGGTTATTGTATAGATTCTTATAAAGGTTAAATAAAATAACATGAAAAGCATTTAGTTCAGTGTTTGGTATAGTGCCACTTCTCTTTTTTCCGTTCCTGTCCTCTGAGTGGGGAGCTTCAATCTGAGAGTCAGTAACTTGGCAAAACTGTTTTATGATAATACATAATCAGGCACCCTTGCCTTCTTAAAAGGGACTGTTTTATAGATTGGATCAGGAAAATAATTATTGATCATATGGTAATATTTCTCTTTGGGATCAAGTCAGCTGGCTATTTCTTGGCCCTTATAAAAATCTGGAAATAATTTTATTGCATGTCATTTATTATCTGCCTTTCCATTGTCTTTGTCTGAAAGGAAGAGATGGATTGTGGTTGTTCCCCGCTGTCTTCCCACCACCTTAGCCTGATGATGTGTGGCACTTCGCAGTCTAGTAATTTGTAGTTAAGCAAAATTTTGTCACATTTTAGAGGAAGTTCTGTGTGTCAGTCACTGAAATTAATTTGATTAGAAACCAAGGTTTGACCAACTAAGATGGGAATTATATAAAAAACACATTTTCTTCCCAGTTCTTAAATATAAGGTTAAACTCTCAATAAAAATAAGAAAGCTACATACTTCTTTAAAATATGTGTGGATTATTAGGAGGATTTTAGCTTAGCATTCAGCAGACCTTGATTACCTTCATTCAAATTTAAGTTTTTAATCAAAAGACTTGCTCTTCCCACCCACCTCCCTTTTTTTTTTTAAGAGATGAAGTCTCACTCTGTCACCCAGGCTTTAGTGCAGTGGCATGATCAAAGCTCACTGCAGCTTCCAACTTCTGGGCTCAAGCGATTCTCCCACCTCAACCTCATGATTAGCTGAAACTATAGGCATGCACCACCACACCTGGCTAATTTTTAAAAATTTTTTTTGTGGAGACAGGGGTCTCATTATGTTGCGCAGGCTGGTCTTGAGCTCCTGGCCTCAAGCAATCCTCCCACTTTGGCCTCCCAAAGTTCTGGGATTATAGTTGTGAGCACTGCATCTTGCCCCAACCTTCCTTTTTGCTGTGTAGATTATACTATTACAAATCAGTGGAGGAAAGGTGCAGATAAACAAAAGAAGGAAAATAAAAATTATGGATTATTCCACTTCTCAGAGAAAAACATTATTGACATTTTTATACTTTTAGTTTCAGATTTTTCTCTTCTTATATTCATATGCTTAAAAATGATTATATAATCCATATTTTTTATAAATGGCTTTATTTAATCATCAATATACTGTAACTATACTTATGACAATAAATGTATTTCTTCAACATCTAGTTATTTTTGTTCTCTTCTAATTATAGAAATGTGTATTTAGTTTATTGGAAAAATTCTTAAAGAATATAGAAATATCTAACAGAAAATAAAAATAATCTAATCATTTATACAACAGTACTTTTTAGTGCCTTCTTAGGTTTCAGCTATCAGAATGGACCATAATTTACTAAGCTAATTATTTATTGCTTTCCATTTAAAAACCATGAATTGGAAACAGTTTATAGTAAACCATACTACTATAAGCATCTTTGTACATACAATTGGGTACAGTTGCCCGATGATCTCATTAGAATAAATTCCTACAAGTGTATATGCTGGCTAAAGTATATTTCTATTTTAAAGCTTTTTAAAAAATCCCATCCAAAAACATTCTATCAATTTGTTCTCTGATCAGCAATATTTGGGGAATATCTGTTTTTTCATACCTTTTCCAATCTTATTTTTTCTTAATAGACAGTTTTTGCCAGTTTGATATGTAAAAATTGTTTTAACTTGAAATTACTTATTATTAGTTAAGTATAACTTTTTTCAAAATGTGTATTTCTTTATGAATTACTTGCTTGCCTAATTTTAAAAATTGAAATGTTTAAAAATTGAATAGTTTTCTATGAAACTATTTTCTTTATGCACATCTGTCAGTATGACTAAGGTGCCTTGGTCTCTTTTGAAACAAAATGAGCTATGCATAAAGAATTCACTCAACTGGAACATTTTGCTTTGTGCAAAGGTCTGTATTGACCTGAGAGCCAGGAAGTTCCTGCACAGCCTGTATTGTTATCCTGAGGCAGGTGGATAGACTCTATAGCTGCCTTCTGAACTATGTGGGGTTTTCCTGGCAGCCAACCATCTCTGTGTTTGTCTCTGTAGCCTCCTTGATTTCTGTAACTGCCCTAATATTCGGGTGGGGATTGAGTGGGATTCTGCTGTCCACTGTGATCAGTCAAATCAACACTTTTTATACCTGAGCTCAGTGTCAGTTTATATTGGGCGAAGGGGAAATAATGTCTGTGTAAGTTACTGTGTACAAACATTCTCTTTGGTGCTTATGATGATTAAATGAAATAACTGCAAAGCACCTTCTAGCATGGAACTTGTCTTGCAGTAGGTTCTAATTAGATGGTGCTGGTCTTTTAATCAGGGTAGTCAAGGAAGGCACTGATAAACAGAGGTCAAGCAGATCTGAGTTTAAGCCCACCTTCATTCCATTTAAGCAGGTGACTTTGGGAAGGTTTTTAATTCTTGAGCTTCAATTTCCATATGTTGAAAGGGGATATAGTCATAAACCTGCTACATAGGGTTAAATGAGACAATATGTCAAGCCTGTAGCATCATGCCTGATGCCGGACTCCCAAGGGGAAGAAAGTAGTGTTAGTGCCCAGTAGGGTGGATGGTGTACCCTGGCAGTCACGGTCTCAGACACCCACGCATGCCCAGAAAAGCAGAGTTCTCACCATCAGCTGGGGAGTGGGAGCTTTGTTCCAGAAGGAGAAATGCAATAAAGAAAAGCAATAATGTGAGTAGGAGAGGGAAGAAGGCATGAGTGGAAGAGGTCGTGGGGAAGAAATGGAAGCATCTAGATTCTTTCCTTTCTTCCTAAAAAGAAAGTAAAAGACTTATTTCTTTAGCTCAGTGCATCTGTCACCAGTTGATTCTGCAGTTATAGTTCATTGCCTACTCAAATGTTTTGCAGTCTAGTTTTGGGGAAATAAAACATGTATTGATATATATAAGCAAAATAAAAGTTAAAATAGTGGCTACATAGGTTTCTTTAGAGTGATGGAATGATAAATGAGTGCTGGAAGCATCTGGGGAAGGAATTGACTCAGTATGGGTGATCAGGGAAAGCATCTTACAAGAGTAGATTTGATCTGATTCCTGAAATAGTTTTTGATTCTTTTTTTTTTTTTAATTTCCCAGTGGATGTTCTGTTATACCTTAGTCATGACAGATGCTCTGGATAGAGCTGACCACTGAGTTTGCAAAAGCATCATACTCTATCACCCATGTGGCTGGTTCACAATGCGTGTTCACTTCCTAAAGTCCCTGTTAACCTTGCCAGAAAGGGACCTGCTGAACAGCCTAGCCCAGCAGAGTTAGGCCCCTGCAGTGGACTGGCAGAACAACCCAGAAAGCTTGGGATTTGGGTGCTGCCACACACTGCTGCAAGCTCAGTTTTCCTCTTTAAGTTACACTTTAGGGAATGTGGTTGTTGCTTGTCTCTGTGTACATATTTGTAAAACATTTGGAGATTATCAAACATTAACTATAGCTCTTAAGTTTAGGGGAAAAGAATGAATATGCCCAAATAGGAAAATAATGAGAATTACACAGTTTTGGAATTCAGTTTCCACCTTGTATTTTTCTTCTCTGTTGCTTATTTTTGTTTCTGTGAAATGCTTTATAGAGTACTTGCATATAATGAAAAAGAATTACCTTAAAAGTTGAAAATGAAAACATTCTAAAGATACTCATATTTTAACAAAAGTGTTTTTTCCCCCATTCCCAAGGTATATTACCCAAATTTGGGATGGATGTGCATCGATGCCACTGATCCAGAGAAGGGAAACTGGCTGCGATATGTGAATTGGGCTTGCTCAGGAGAAGAGCAAAATTTATTTCCGCTGGAAATCAACAGAGCCATTTACTATAAAACTTTAAAGGTAACAGTGTTAGTTTTCTGTTGGTTACTATGCTTTGCGTTTTTCTAAATGCTGTCCTTAGTCGTGACTGACAATCGTAACTTTTTAGACTTTGAAAGGATTATATTTGAAAATGGTTAGTCCACACACTCAAGGAGGTTCTGTGTTTTAAGCATATGGTTGTCACTGCTTCATATGTGTCAGGGAACTAAAGCATGATGAAGATCGTGTTAAGTAATTACATACGGCATCTCTGTAGATACTGATGAGTTAAGCTTGTGGCAGCTGCTTCCCTCCTCCTAAGAGATAGAAGCATTAGGAACTGCCTGCCTGGCAGATTTATCCAACTGTGAGAAACTATCAATAGCTATGGTGGGTCTGTGCTAACTGAGAACACATTCTTAGTCTTCAGTATAAATGCAGCCTTGGATTAGCTTTCCTTTTCTCTACATTTTACTCAGAATAGAAATTGAACAGAACATGTTTCTTCCTTCTGCCAAATTTTTCTTTGAGACACTAATTATTGAAATGAAAAGAAGAAGAAAGTCATGTTCTAGGGTTGGTAGTGAGGTTACGGAGCACATTCAGGGGTGTCTGTGTTAGGAAGTTGCTGCATTTTTGTGGCAAGTAAGGCTGTGTCTCTCTCCCTGGTTTTCGCTGGGCATGCTGTCTCGGACATGTTCTCTAGGGAGATGAATCTGTACCTTATGTATGGGAGTGTACTAAGGCAGAATCTTGAGCATGTAAAGATAGACGGTAGTTGCTTTTTGTAATTGATAAGTTTGCTAAAATTGTCATAGGCAAATTTGTCTTTATTTACTTACATCCATTAAAAATGTCATAGACAGTCCATGAAAAAAAATAATCTACATCGAGTTGAAAACTATGCATGAGCAAACATTTTAAGATAGTGGCCAACTTTGCAAGTGTGTGCTGAGTTTGCTAATGTAGCAGTAGTATTTCTGGAAGTTTAGTAACTGGTAGCTGTTTAATTTTCCCTCGCTGCATTTTTCCTGACATTGTTAGCCAATTAGACTGCCCTTTACTACATTTATACCTGTGTCCTTGCTTCCTGCAGTCCTTGCCTGCAGGAAACTTTTTGTGGGTGGCACTTTCTCATTTAAGACTTTAAAAACCTTGTTTTCCATTTTTGTTGTGCTGGATTGTAGTACATGCTTTCTAGTAGGTATTACTCTATAATATTACTCTACAGTAATTATAGTATTATTCTACAATACTGTTATGTTGGAGTTTGAATTTGTATTCACAATTTGATAAAAGAAGAATTCATTGTTTGTGAAATTGATTTAAAGTGAGAGAGATACCTAGTTGAATCAGTGAGGTAGAATTTTGGTGGAGACAAAACACTAGCTAGAGGATGAATATGAGACAATCAAGGTAGTAGGAGTGATGTTCTGAAGGAGTGTGAGCCCAGGGAGATACTAGGAGACTGCAATTCCTTCAAGTTAAAATGTGTTCATCTCTGATAGCAAATCTGCAGGAACATCGGGAAGCAAGATAGAACAGTGGTTGGAAGAGTGAATTCTGAAGCTAGACTGTCTGGTTAGATCTTGACTCACTGTGTGACCCGAGGGAAGCTGGTATAACTTCACTAGCTGTGTAACCTTAGTCAAGCCCCCTCTCTGTGCCTCCATTTCCTCATTGTAAGATACCAAGTAATTATAGTATCGACCTCATAGGGTGGTTGTGATGATTGTATGGGTGACGTGGATAGATCCCTAGCATCCAGTAAGTGATAATAGATGCTAGTGGTTATTTTTGGCAAGGTGGTATGGTGTTGTGGAAGACTCTGGAGCAGTTATGTCTTGTGAGCAGACTGTTTTGGCCTCTAGATGTGTGACGATGTGAAGTTACTTAATCTCCCTGTGTCTTAGTTTTCTCACCTATAAAAATGGAGGTAATAGTAAATCTGATTTCTGCAGCTGAGAAGGTTAAATAAGCCAATATGTATTAATATAAGGTTCTGTGAACAGTTCTTGTTTTTGTTCTCTAGTCCAATGTAAGTACTCAAAGTGTTAACTAGCTACACTACTACTGTTCTTTTTACCTTTGTCCAAAAGAACATAGTTCTGATCTTTGCAGACCTCTGCCAATCCTGACCTTTGATATTTCTCAAGTAATGCACAAGGCCTTTCAGATTCCTTACAAGCGATTGATTATCTAACTATATTCTTCTAGATTAAGTGTTCTGTGGGTTAGGCTTTGTAAATCCATCACATGCAATGTTCTCTGGGCTCTGTATTGCCTTCTCAACTTATTATTCCAACCAGATAATTGGGAAATCTCAACACTGGTTTTGTTTGTAACATAATTAAAAATGATTTTAAATTCTTGAAAGTTAATTGTTACGCCTACTGTCCCTGCATTCATCTATTTATTAGTTTGACAGATATTTATTGAATGTCTACTATGTACCATGTACTCTCCTATAGCAGTGAACAGGACAGACAAGGTGTCTGGTCTCCTAGAACTGTCATTTTATGGGAGAGGAGGCAGATAATAAATAAGTAAATCATAAACAAAATAATTTCAGATGGTGAAAAGTGCATTGAAGACAATCAAATGTGATAGAGAGTGACTGGGTCAGGAAGGCTGCTCTATTTCTCTGTTTTCTTCTGAGAGAAGACATTGGAAACCCTCTGTTCAGGATAGGAGGAGCCAGCCACTCAGAGATCTGCGGGAAGAACCATCCAGGAGGAAGGGCCTAGAAAAGAAAAGGCCTGAAGTAGAAATAAGCTAGTTTTTGTTGTTTGTCTGTCTGTTTTGAAAGGACTAGAACAAAGGCCAATGTGGTTGGAGGGAGGAGAGGAATCTTAGGAGATGAGGCTGGAGAAGTGGGCAGTGGCCAGATTAGATAGGGCTGGGCAGTCCATGGGGAGAAGGATGATTTTTAGTCTTAAGTTTAGCTCATCTATGGGAGAGTTGAGGCTGGAATCTGACCTGTGACTTTTAAAAGATCATGCTGGGGACTGGATCATAAGTGGTAGAGTAGACATGCTCTGTGTGTTCTGATGATTCTGGATTATTTCTCTCATTTTTCTAATATTCCTGACCAGGTATTAGGAATATCAGAGCCCTAGCTTCTTCCTGATTGGTTTTATAAAATTTCAAGTTTATATATATATATATATATATACACACACACACACACACACAGATATTTAGAGAAGAGAATATGCTTGGTTTTATGAAGTCTATCTGAATCCCCCAGAAAAGTTGGATGAGTTTAAAGTCTTTTTGTTGTTATTTTTTCTTTAACATCAAAATATATTTAAAAAGTTTGTTTGGTCTTTTGACTTTATTTTTTTTTAATGTGGATTTGTATGTCTTTTGTGTAGGGCCATAGTTTTTCTTCTGATTTTGACTTAAAAATGCTAAGCAGTGCAGAAGAAAAAAAAAACAATACAGTACAGCGTAAAACAAGCCTTGATTTTAAAAGATATATTAATTTTCTTTTCATAAGGGAAAACAGCTATTGGTGTAGCTGTTTTAGGACGCATTATGTAGCTCCATGATATAATAACCATCTCATCTGCTAACAATTTTGAAAGCTGTTCAGCAGCTAACAAATCGGTTCCTCTTGGTCTAGTGCTTCACCAGCTCTTCAGCTTTTAGAAATTTTATATTAGATTTGTGGTACAAACAGATTCTGGTGTGTTTTCATATTGTGTGTTTTGTAACAACAAAAGAGTATCTTAGGACATGAGTGCCCTTCTAAGTAAAGAGTTTGTGCCAATATTGAACTTCACCGAGTTGCTAGTACAGTTAGCATTTCACTAACGACTGTAGTGGAATGGATATGGGAACTTAAGCTCTTATTCTTGGAGGTATCTTGAAAATGTCTGGTGGTGTCTTCCAGCCAGTTTTCTGGTTACGCTGTTTGGGTTGCGAATATATTGGGAATGCATTTGTCCTTGCTCTTCCCATCATCTTTTTTACTTTGGTTTTATTTTAAGACTTCACATATTTCTTAGAACCCTAGTCATTTCAAATATCATTGGATATCACCATTTCATAAATATGTGGCTTATCACAGAAAATAGAGAACAAACTATACATTTGGAATTTACATCACCTAGAAATAGTTTACTTTAAAATAAGCTGTTCTTTCAACAGAAACAGATTAGCTCATCAGAATGCCAAAAGGCATTTGTGATGGCTATTTTAACTCATTGTTATCTTTCATACATTAAATTTTTGGGTTTAAGTTTAACTGATTCAAGAAGGGAAATAATATATTCGTTCAAATATAAGAAAATAGTAGGTTTTAGCCATCCAAACAGGGGTTGGGGGAAGCAAAGGAAACAGTGGCTGCTGCTTTTATTTTAAAGAATTTAGAATATTTTAAAATTTGGACTATATAAACAGTGACAGTTCTGCAGAGAATGAAATGAAGTAGTATTTACTCTCAAGGGCTTTATCTAGACTAGAAGGTATGTTGAAGTGAGGAAATATTTTGTTTCCAAACTGACATGTGAGGTGGGATTTCCTTCCCCCCAGAAAAAACAGGATCATTCTCTTACATAACCACAGTGCAACGATCAAATCAGGAAGCTAACACCAACACATTATTTGTATTAGCTAATCTGTGTACTGTACTCAAATTTTATTGGCTGTTCCCATCATATCCTTATAAGAAAACTCCTGTAACATTTAGTTGTCACGTCTCATCAGTCTCCCTAGTATGGGTGGTACTTTAGTCTTTGTCTTTTATAACCTTTCAGTGTTGAGAACTGGCCAGTTATTCTATAGAATGTCTCAAAGTTTATACTTCTCAGATTTCATCTTGATGAAATTTGGTTTATGCATTTTGGGCAGAAATCTTCTAGAAGTGGTGCAGTGTTCTCTGTGCATTGTATCAGTAGGCATATGATGTCAATTTGTCTTATTACAAAGATGCTGTTTTTCCCTTTGTAATTAATAAAGATTTTATGGGGAGATAAAATTCTCATATTTTGAGAAAAAAGTCTCATATTTTGAGACTATGCAAATATTTTTTTACTCCTCAAACTTTCACCTACTTTTAGCATCCATTGATGATTCTTGCCTGAATCAATGATTACTGTGATTGCCAAATGGTGATTTTCTGATACCATTTTTCTTTTCCTTTTTTTTTTTTTTTTACTGATTAATTGGGATCTATTTTAAGGAAGAACTTTCCTTTTTATTTACTCCTTCCTTCCTTTCTCATGGATTCTTATTCAGTGGGTTTCAGATGGAATTTTACTTGTATTGATACCCTTGAAACTTTTTGAACAGATGAGTGACAAACTAATAAGCCATTTCCGCAAATTCTGTTTTGGTGTCTAAACTTTCCAGTCAATGTGTTTTTTCTTCAGGTTCTTGTTCTAGATGTAATCCATATGATGGTGGTATATGTACTCACTACTCCCAGTCATACAGGATTTAAGAATTTAATGATCTAGGAGCATAATACATGGGAGGTTATTTCCTTCTATATTTAAAAGTTATAATATGAAATCTTGATGTTTGGTACAAGGGGCCAGGCAGTGAACGCTTTTTACAGAGCCATGCAGGTTGACGGCAACGCGTAGCCTGTTCCTGGCACTGCCTCTTCTTTTAGCATTTCAGTGATATAAATAGGGGTGCATTTATAAATGTGCAGTGGCATACGGTTCTGCCTTGTTCCCATGCTTAACTTGCTCTTGGAATCTGAAAGGTGCGCTGGTGATTACCTTTCAGCGCTCCGCTTTCCATGACGCCCTCTTCTTTTTAATTATGCTGTACATTTCTCATCCACTTAGATTTCGGGAGCAAAATGGTTCCATGTTTTATTTTTTCTTCTGCGTGGGTAGTCGTGAGGCTTCGAACAGCAAGATGTGACGACGCCTGGCAGTTGCGAGTTTAAACCGACCGGCTCGCGATGAGCTACTGTCGCCAGCCTGTCTGTCCGCGCGCCTCGCCGCCCGCGGGGGCCTCCGCCGGCAGGGTTCCTGCGGGCGCCGGCCCGCGCCCCAAGGGTTAAGGAGCCCTTCCTGCCGGCCGGGCTGCGCGCGGCGCCGACAGCTGTTTGCCATCGGCGCCGCTCCCGCCTGCCGCCCGGCGCGCCCCGCCCCCGCCAACAACCGCTGCTCTGATTGGCCCGGCGCTTGTCTCTTCTCTCCCCGCAGCCAATCGCGCCGGGCGAGGAGCTCCTGGTCTGGTACAATGGGGAAGACAACCCCGAGATAGCAGCCGCGATTGAGGAAGAGCGAGCCAGCGCCCGGAGCAAGCGGAGCTCCCCGAAGAGCCGGAAAGGTAGGAGCCCCCGGCCCGGCCCGCGCGGCCCCGGCGCCACGCCCGCCCGCGACGCCGCCCCGCCGCTCCCTGCCTGACCACGGGGTGGGTCGCGGGCTCGGGCGGCGGCGCCCGCGGCGTCTCGGTGACCTTTTCCGGACTCGGCCCGGCCGGGCCCCGGCCCCGCTCCCGCCCCGCGATCCCGCTCGGGCCCCGCGCGTCGGCCCGCGACGCCGCCCTCCCGCCGGCCGGCCCGGCCCCTCTGCTGAATCACGGCCGCCACCGCCGCGCGCTCGGGCTGTTTTCTAACTTGTGACTTAGCACCTGGGCGGCGGAGAGTGCGCGGACGCCGCGCCCGGGAGTGGACGCTTCGCCCGGGGGCGCCCGCAGCTGCGCACGGCGGGGTCCGTAGCCTTCCGGGCGGCCGGCCGGCGTGACAGCCCGGGCGCCTCAGACCCGGGCCCGCCGTGCGCACTCGGGCGCGGAGTCGGAGAGGGGGACGGACGGGCGGGCGGGCGGGCGGACAGACGGACAGACGGAAGGACGGGGAGAGGAGAGCAGGGAGATGGGGCACAGAAAGCCAGGCGCGGTGGCTTCCGAAGGGTGTCGAGGGGCAGTGTGGAAGTTAAGGGAGCGTGCTGTTCTGTCGTTTTGACTTAATTCTTACAGTTTTATGATTTATGATTTCTAACAAAAGGTAAAGTGTAGTCATACTTAAAAAGGGAGGGGATAATTTCTGGGTATGAAAATAGTTTTGTTGGCTGTATCATTTCCAGCTGGCATACTGACACGTCGAAGGGATTTTTTAAATGAAGAATTTAATGTGAATTCAGAAATCTTTTATAGAGCCCAGTTTGAATATTTGCCAAGGAACAGTATGGTGGTTTCTTATTAATATAAACATTGGGGTTTTTTGCCCGACTTAGGTCTTAAGAAATTTTTGTAGTCATCTGAATGAAGAAGTTAATCCTTTACCCAAAACATTGCAAAGTGAGTTGTGGAAATCATACTGTAAATAAAATCCTACCATAAACTTGATTTTGGCTCACGTGTGTAATCCTAGCACTCTGGGAGGCCGAGGTGGGGTCGGATCATTTGAGCTCAGGAGTTGAAGACCAGCCTGAGCAAGATCGAGACCCTGTCTCTACTGAAAAACAGAAAGAAATTAGCTGGACAACTAAAAATATATATATATAAATTAGCCAGGCACAGTGGCGCATGCCTATAGTCCCAGCTACTCGCGAGGCTGAGGGAGAAGGATTGCTTGAGCCCAGGAATTTGAGATTGCTATGAGCTAGGCTGAAGCCACGGTACTCTAGCCGGGGCAACGGAGTGAGACTGTGTCTCAAAAAGAAAGAAAGAAAGAAAGAAAGAAACTTGATTTTGGAAAATTTCAATAAAATACTGTTAAAAAATGTTGGCAAGAAGTCTGTTCTGATCTTTCAATTACATATTCTTTGTATATCACAGCATAATGGAAATACAACTAGCTCACCCAGGGGACAGTTGGTAGGCCTCTTACTGAATACAAGTTCTCTATTTATCAAAGGTGATTTAGGCACTGCTTTAGGTCATTAGATGCTTTGATCCTGAATCAAATGATGAGTCTAGAAAATTCCCAGGCCTTTTTAAAAAATTGTTTTAACTAAGTACTGGGATTTTGTTGGTATTATGTTTAGTGCTTAGTTGTTTGAAGATTCTTCACATAATTCAACTTGTTCCTTTATTCATTTATAGCTAATGTTACCAGGTAAGGTGTGATTTGTAGGGAAATGGAGATTAGGAGGATGGGGAATCTTTATCACTAAGCATAACTGACTCATACCTTTAAATATATTTATAGCTTAATAGCAACCTTACCTTAAGACTTATCAGGCATACTTTGGTGTGCATGTTTAGAACATATTTCATTACTCTTTTTATCTTTTATTTTTCTATTCACTTAGTTGGGTAAAAACCTGAAAGTAAACTTTGTTTTATTAGTGATATACATCTTACTTACACATCTGCATTTTTATACCTGCTTAGATTGCTTGCTGGCGTTTTATATTGAGTTAAATAGTTAATATTTCCTATTATCCCCATTACTATTTTTGTAACTATCCTGGCAGCATATAACCCACTGAATCCTAGGATTTAATTAAAAGACTTGCACAAGGCTCACTCTTGGAACTCAGTCTGTTTTGAACAGCTTTCTGGTAAAGAGGCCTGTTTGCTCTGTATGACCTGAAGTTGGGAGAGTTTAAATAATGAGTCAAACTTTTTTTATTTTTTAATTAAATACTTTGTGATGGCTAGTTTATAGCTTGCAAAGACCTAAAATGGAGAACTTTTTATATTAACTCAGTTCTATATAATGTGACCTCAGACATTTAAATAATACCTTTTTAGGCAGTTATAGAGTGAATCAACATAAATTTCACTCAGAGGCAATGTTAACTTAGTATTTTTGAAAGCCAGATGTTGAAGACATACAGCTGACAGGTGGATTGACAGTGGACCTGACTTCATTTTGGTTATGAGACAGAAACAAAGGGCTGAATTCTTCATAGTTGTGGACCTCGGCTCCTTTGCACGACAGCTGCTGTGCTTACAGCTGTGCGTTGCATGTGGTGCCTTTCAGAATTCATCAGATCGCTGGTGGATCATAAGGCGTGTTTGGGGAGTGCAAAGACCTGATTTCCTTACTTACAAAGTTGTGTGGCCTTTCACTTCCTCCTCTCTCTTTCTGTCTCTCATTCATTCATTCACCTAATGTTCATTGAGTCCCTGCAGTGTGCCAGGCACCCTGCTAAGTTGTACAGCACAGTGTTGAGCAAAAAAGCAGCAGTCATGATGCCTGTAGTCTCGTGAGGGACACATACATTAAATCAGTAAATAGTTGATCAGAGCCTAGATGGTTCGTGTGTAGTAGGCACACAATAAATATTCGTTGATTGGTGAACAAAGACTCACACAAACATGTAAGGAAATAAAAGAGCACAGTGCTGGGAGAACACAGTTCATATTGTCTCTGACCATGGAGCATGCAGTTTTGCCATGGGCCAAAGATATACGTACTTCAGGCATTTTCAACTGGAATTTATTTTGGATTCAATTTAACTTTTTACATGTCTGAGCAGCCCCTATAATATTGAACATGAGAAGTTCCTTGGATGGGATAGATTAAACTTATAGGTAGAGAGGAAGGGGAGAGTTTTTAGTGTCAGGTGTTCCAGGTTATTTTAATGTGAACCACAGGAAGATTATAATCTATAAAATAGCATAGTAAAAAAGCCAAATGTAGAAGTATTTATCATCTTCCTGATCTTTGTCTCCTATTTGATACTGTGAGAAATGAGATTGAATTTGCTTGTTCGCAATAAACAATGACTGTTGGCAAATGCTCTTACAAAATGTAGGCTGTAGTAGCAGAATGTGTGCCCTGCTCTCTCTTACCTATGCAAGAGCCTTACCCAAAGTTCTTTTAACCTGAAGAAACAACAGTGGCTTTATATAAATGGGTTTAGTGGAAGGAATGAAAAATATGGGACTTCTGGGTATTTACCCAGTGTCTGATTTTGGGTAAGTCATGTCACCTTTCTGTAGCACAGTTTTCCAGGCATTAGGAATGGGTGTCATGATATTGATACTTATGGCCACCTAATCTCAGGAGGTTGTTGTCAAGAGCAAATGAGATAGAAAAAAACATGCTTTGTGAAGCTTGCAAGCTCTTGGTAACTGAGTGCCACCTCTCAAAATGTGGCTGACATGTTACTTACATGTTTCCTGCTGAGGAACTCCTGAGTTTGTGACTTATTTATTCAATCAATATTTAAGGAGCACCTGTGTAAGCTCAAAATAAGCACCTAGTCTCTTCCCTCCTTCTTCCTCCATACTTCAGAGTCTCTCACCCTGCTGATTCGCCTTTATTTTAGGCCTCGTTCTAACCTACTGACCACACCATTCACAGCAAAGTAGAAGAGGAGTTATTTACAGCAGCAAGAAGTTTTATACCCAATAGCTAGACAGTGAAGAAGAACATTTATAACCAAATCCGTAATGAACTATAAAGAGCATAGTTCCTTAAAGTCAGTTAATAGCTTCAGATACTCTTTTATAAACCTCAAATAGTACCTGAAAATATCAACTCAATAAGTGTTTATCTAAGCGACTGTTAAATTATAATCAGCTCAACAAGGAAATATTTCATGTGTCTCTGCAGTCAGAATTGTTCAAATAAAAAACCTTGGTACTGTGAAGAACATTCAAGGTTTTTGAAATTATATTTATTGGAAATGTTTCCCTAAAGATGCTTACATTCAATATAGGGAAATAAGAGATCCATATGCAAAGATAACTCAGTCTAAGGTAGTTTTTAAAAAAAAAAAAACAAAAGGTGCTAAATGAATGGTGTAAGGCAGTAGGACTGTACGTACAACTCATGAGAGGGCAAAGAAACTCGGAGCTGGGCTGGCCAGGGAGGCTTTATGTGGAAAAGGCAGAGAGCTGAGGGCATTGCAGAACCTAGGAGGGGCACAGCAGGCGTTCAGAGGGGCAATGGCGCTGTGAGCAGGTCAGAGAAGTTGTAACTGTGGATGTTCGTCATCATTTGACAAGTATTCATTGAGTCTGTGTAAGGCAGTATTCTAGGTGCTGGGGGCTGGAGTTCAGAGAACTAAAATGACAAAGGTCCTTGTTATCATGGAATCAGCATTCTAGGTTTTTTGTTTTTTTTAAGAGACAGGGTCTGCCTCTTTTGCCAAGGATGGAGTGCAGTGTTGTGATCATAGCTCACTGTAGCTTAGGACTTCTGGGCTCAAGTGATCCTCTTGCCTCAGCCTCCTGAATAGCTAGGACTACCACTACAGCTCAGCTAATTTAAAAAAATTTTTTTTCATAGAGACAGGGTCTTGCTGTGTTGCTCAGGGTGGTCTCAAACACCTGATCTTAAGTGATCCTCCCAAAGGGCTGGGATTACAGGCATGAGCAGCCTTGCCTGGCCTGAAATTGACATTCTGGAGAGTGGGCACTACAGGCCA